CCTCCTCCTCCATCTCCTCCTCCTCCTCCTCCTCCTCCTCCTCCTCCTCCTCCTCCTCCTCCTCCTCCTCCTCCTCCTCCTCCTCCTCCCCCCCCTCGTTCTCCTCCTCGCGTCGCCGACAGGCGCTCGAGGTCGAGCTCGACGAGGGGCGGGCTCTCAAGGACGCGGCCGTGTCGGCCCCTTCGCCTCTCTTAGCCCTCCGCTCTGCGGGACGCGGCCGCCTCCACGGCGGCCGCTCTCCTTTTTGTTGGTCAGGTGTCGGCCGAAAATCAATTAAATCAGGATTGAAAAGCAATTGAATCTAGATTTACACGCCGGTCGTTGAAAGTAGGTATTTCTGAAATTCCCACATCCCAATCTACTTCAAGCGCCTTCCTGCTTCAAGAATCGGCTTGCTGTTGCTGTGTTTTGTTATTCTCTGGGTGGGCCTGGACCCAAGTTATCCGTCTTCCTAATTCATGTTTTTACCTACTTATTCCGACCGACGTGTAATTGTTTTAGCGTGTGTGTACAGGTATTGCGACACCAAATATTTGGATCTAGATTTGATTGTGCGGCGGCGCGGATTCGAGAATCAACGGTCCAAACAATTTCATCTAGATTAAATTGTTTTTTGAGTCGTGATTCCATTGGTAACCGCGTCGTCCTTGACCCGACCCCGAGGCGTTGTGAGGGACTCCTGGCGGACGTCTCTGCTCGGAAACTGGTGCATATACACTGCCAGCGGTGGGCTGTTTTTCTCAACCCCAGAACTTGTTGAGGGTCGGGGACGACGCCGGGGTGGTGTGTGTGTACTTTTTCCCCGCTTCCCCGGGGAAGCAGCGAAACATGTGTACACCAGGATCCCGTATACACCAGGATCCGCTTTCCTGTGCAGGTGTCGGTGCAGGGCCGGGAAAAAAAACGTCGGTGCATAGAGGTTGTTTCCTTGGGAGACTCCTGGCGGGCGCCTCTGCCCCCGTTCTGGGGCCCTCGCGGGCCGGTCCGGCTTGGAGAGTCTCGCGTCTCGCTGGTCGAGGGCTCTGGGCGGTATAAGTTTTTTCACGGCGGTGAGTGTGTGTGTGTGTGTGCTACGACGTCAGAAGTCTGGGGTTTCCCCCGTCCTTCGGGCCTGACGAAAAGGGGGGGGGGCAAGGTTCGGAAACTGGTAGGGTGATTTCGCAATCTGCGAAGAAGAAAAAAACGCCATGATACTGGAGAAACACCCCAATCATAATCTTTTTAGGGCTTTAGGGCTATTGGACTATAAGGCTATAGCGCTAGAAGGCTATGTGGCTACAGGGCTACAGGGCCATAGGGCTATAGGGCTATTGGGCTATAGGGTTACGGGGCCGTAGGGCTATAGGGCAATAAGGCTATAGGGCTATAAGGTTATAAGGATATAGGGCTATTAGGGCTATAGGGCTACAGGGCTATAGGGCTACAGGGCTAAAGGGCTACAGGGCTACATAGAGCTACCGGGCACCCGGGCACCCAAGCACCCGGGCACCCAGGCACCCGGGCACCCGGGACCCCGGGCACCCAGGCATCCGGGCACCCGGGCAACCCCGGGCACCCAGGCACCCGGGCGTGCAGCGAAAATCGGCGGCAAACCTAACCCAACCATATGAATCCGCTAGGACCCCTACAGAGGGAAGCTCTGATTGAGGAATAAACGCAAACAGCTGGCGCTCTGTGCGGATTTCTTGGATCCGCGCTGGGCTTGCCCGTAGGGGTTCTTGCTTGGCTTAACCATCTCGGGGTGAGTGGCGGCTCTTGCGGGCGGTGCCGCCCGTCGCCGCCGTCGCCGTCGCCGTCGCCGCCGCTCGGGGCGAGTGGCGGCTTTTGCGGGCTGCGCCGTCCGTCGCCGCAGTCGCCGTCGCCGTCGCCGCCGCTCGGGGCGAGTGGCGGCTTTTGTGGGCGGTGCCGCCCGTCGCCGCCGTCACCATCGCATAGATACCCCCCTCCCCTGGGATTACCAGTTCCCGTTTCGTATTGCAATTTACAAATGTTTCTGCCCCATCGTCCATCCTCAATGCGAATTCGCACCATGCCGGCCCAACCGGTATCGCCAGCCCCCCCCCGCCATCCTCTACAAAACCATACATGCGCGCGCACTCGTTGATCACAAATCATTAGTGTACATGAGTCCTTTGCAACAAATGAGACGACGTGCACATGCGCGCGTCGTCGCGCGCGCATGCCGAAATCCTTCAAAAACCTTCAAAATCACAAGGGTTTAAAATTCTGGTGTCGCAAACACATATAAAAACACAGGGTGTCAAACACGGATTTGCCCCCCATAGCCAAACATGCGCGCGAGTTCTTGCGATTTGTATCGAACAAAAAACATGGATTGTCAACGCAGAGCATGCTAATTACCAAACGGGCTCCGCGCGCGCATGTTGAAATCGTTCGAACGTCCTTGCGCGCGCTCTGGAATGGCACGATCCGCGTCGCATAATCCCATGCAGGCCACTCTCGCGCGTCGGCCGCGCGCGCATGTCGAACTCCTTCCAAAAACCTTCATCGCCGACGCGAGGACGCCGTCATCGCCGCCGGCGTTATCAGCATCGGCGCCGTCACTGGCTGCCCCGTCGTCGCTTTCAGCATCGTCACCAGCTTTGCTACTATCATCATCGTTTCTACCGTTGCCGACGTTGCCATGATACCGCGCCCGCCCAAGTCGCCCACTCGCACTCAGTGCCCGCTGGGATGTGCCGAGCGGTCAGCGCCACCGCGTTCGCGTCGGTCGCGCCAAACTAGCTGGCCGTTGCGCGCGCGAGGATACGCGGGTCAGTGCGGCCGCAGAGATGCACCAGCCAACATCGCGCACTCATCGCAATCGTTTCCGCATGGTTTTGGCTAACCAAATTACGGGTGGGTTGGTGGGATGATTTCGCGAGAAGTGGGGTCGACAAGTTCAAGTTCGGCAACGCGAATTGCACCGCCACGTCGATGCTCTTATTCTCTCCGTTCTAAGAACACTGTCCCCCCCCCCCCCCCCTGGTTTATCGGCCCACCTTCCGCATTTCAAGTTATGTCTGATTCTGCCCACTTGCCCATCCTAAATTCCACTTCGCGCCATCCCGGCCGAGCTGGCATCGACCCCCCCCCCGCGCCATCTTCTGCAGAAAGTATTGCGCGCTTTCGTTTACCCCAGGAAGAAGCTCCCATGGGTCCTTTGCACAAGATGCGACGCGTCGTCGCGCGCGCATGCCGCTATCCTTCAACGACCTTCGATTCCGGAAGGATTTCCAAAATTGATTGGCCAAACAACATAAGGGCATGTGTTCACTGCGCGGATTCTCAACAAAAGCGTGCGCGAGTTCTTGCGAATTCTTCAAAAACCTTGGGTTGTCAACGCTCGCAGAACATAATACCAGGCGGGCTTCGCACGCGCGCATGTCGAAATCGTTCGAACGCCATTGCGCGCGTGCTGTCGCGGGAACTCTTTTTGCAACAGCTGGGGCGAAGTGCACGCGCGCGCGTCGTCGCGCGCGCATGCCGGAATCCCTTGCAAACCTGTGGCTTCGCAGCGATGTCAAAACCGAATGTCCCAAACACGCGCGGAATAACACATGGTTTTGCAACCTCACTTTTCGCCGAAAGCGTGCGCGCGCGGTCTTGCGAAATCTCGAGGAAACCATAGATTTGTTAACATTTGCGGAACAGATTACCAAAACGGGCCCCTCGCGCCGCGTTCCGACATCATTCGAGCGCCCGTGCGCGCGTGCTGGGGTGGGCGCGATCCGCGCCAACAAATACATGCACGCGGGCCACTCTCGCGCGTCGGCCGCGCGCGCATGCCGAACTCTTTCCGAAACCATCATCGCCGACGCAAGGGCGCCGTCATCGCCGTCGGCGTCACTGGCCGTGGTCGTCGCTGTCAGCATCGCCACCAGTGCCGCCGCTATCATCGCCGCGTCTACTGCAGTTGGCGTTGCCATGATACCGCGCACGCCCAAGTCGCCGACTCGCACTGAAGTGTCCGTTGGGTTGAACCCAGCGGCCAGCGCCACCGCGGCTGCGCCGTTGCGCCAAAGTGCACGCGCGCGCGCGGGCTGTCGCGGCTGCAGAGATGCACCAGCCAGCGCCGAGCACTCATCGCAATCGCCGCCGCGCGGGGTTTGTAAACCAAGTTGCGGGTGGGCGGGTGAGATGTCTGCGTCAGCAGTGGAGTTGGCTCTTGCAAGTTGAGCGTGTATTATGTTTTAAACTAAAAAAGGAGAAGAGATTCTACCCCCCCCCGCCGGCCCATGTTTTCGCATTGGAATTTGCGCGACTTTCTGCCCCATCGCCCATCCTACATTTTCTACTATATATATATGTGTATATATATATGTATATATAGGCATATAATCCCAGCCGAGGCGTCGTCGACCCCCCCCCGCCATCCTCCGCGGCAAAAATATTATGCACGTGCGCTCGTTGATCCAAAAATCATGAGTTGTCATGTGACCCTTGCAACAATGCGACGCAGCGAGCCCGCGCGCGTCGTCGCGCGCGCCGAAAAAATACCCCGTTGCGCAACGCGGATGTTCAACAAAAGCGCGCGCGCGCGTTCTGGCGAATTCTGAAGCAGGCCGCGGGTTTCTCAACCCTCTTCAGAAATATTTCCAAGCGGGCAGCGCGCGCGTCGAAATCGTTCGAACGCCCTTGCGCGCGCGCCGTCGCGAGAACTTGTCTGCAAGACGTGAAGCGAGGTGCGCGCGCGCGTCGTCGCGCACGCATGCCGACACGCGGGGGGGGGGGACTTTTGGCTCCGCAGCGGCTACAAAACCGAATGTCCCAAACACAGTCAACAGCACAAGGTTTCGCAACCTTTACTTCTTTATGTGAGAATCCTTGCGCGCGCTCTCGCGAACCCTCAAAGATGCCATTGGTGTTTGAACCTCTTCGTGGAACTCGGCCAAGCGGGCCTCTGGCGCCGCGCGCCGACATCATTCGCGCGCCCTTGCGCGCGCTTGGGGGGGGGGGGCGCGTTCCGCGTCGAAAAAAGCCGCGCGGGTCACTCTCGCGCGTCGGCCGCGCGCGCGTATATCGAACTCTTTCTAAAACCTTCATCGCCGACGCGAGGGCGCCGCCGTCGTCGTCGTCGACGCAATCGGCGTTGACGCCCTCCTTGGCCGCGCCGTCGTTCGCGCGAGCATCGTCACCGGCATCGCCGCTATCATCCTCGCGTCTACCGCAGTCGGCGTTGCCATGATACCGCGCCCGCCCAAGTCGCCCACTCGCAGTCAAGCGCCCGCTGGGGCGCGCCCTACTTTCAGCGCCGCCGCAGTCGCGTCGGCGGTGCCACACTAGTTGGCCGTTGCGCGCGCGCTAGGATTGGCGCGGTCGCGGACGCGCACCAGCCAACGCCGAGCATGCATCGCAATCGCCGCCGCGTGGGTTTTGCAAACCAAGTTGCGGGTGGGTGGGCGGGGCGTTTGCAAGAGCATGGGGTTCGTCAGTTTATTTGTGAAAATCAATCGATTGCATTACATGGCTTACCGCGCGTCAGATGCACCGCGTAGATTATTTCTCCCCCCCGCCCCTCGCCCTGGCCTTACCGACCCCGTATTCGCAATGAAATGTGCATGCGTTTCTGCCCCATCGCCCAGTCTGAATATGACTGCTCACCGTGCCAGCCAAGCCAGTGCCGACTCCCCCCCCCGCCATCCATCCACTGCAAAGAAGTACTTCGCGCGCACACTCGTTCATTTAAACGATGCAGTTTGCACGAACCCCTGGCGAAAGATGCGCCGAAGTGCACGCGCGCGCGTCGCCCCGCACGCATGCCGCAATCCTGCAACATCCGTTAGTTTCGGGAGGATTAAAAATCGAGTGCCAAACCAAAATAAATACATCACATGGTTTCGCACCGCGGGTTTTCAAAACAAGCGCGCGCGCGTTCTTGCGAATTCCCAAGACAACCATCGATTTTACAACCCTTTCAGAACATACTACCAGACGGGCTACGCGCGCGCATGATGAAATCTTTCGAACGCCTTTCCGCACGTGCGGTCGCGAGAACCTTTCTGTTATGTTTTTGGAAAATGCGGTGACGTGCGTGCGCGCGCGTCGTCGCGAGCGCATGCCGGAACCCGTGGGACAAAAAACATGCGGCTTCGCAGCTGATAATCTTCTTAAGCAAAAAACCAACATGCAGTCACTAACGCAAGCAGTTTTCAAACGCAGCTTGCGCGCTCGCTCTTGCGAATCCCTTAGAAAACCATTTGGTTTTCCATCTTTTTGCAACGTTTCATGGAATTCTGCCAAGCGGGTTGCTGGCGTCGCATGCCGACAGCATTCGCACGCCTTTGCACGCGTGCTTGTTTTTTTTTTGGGGGGGGGGCACGATCCGTGTCGCATATAACCATGCGGGCCACTCGCGCGTCGGCCGCGCGCGCATGTCGAACTCTTTCCAAACCTTCATCACCGACTCGGGGACGCCGTCATCGTCGTTGGCGTGATCAGCATCGGCGCCCGCACTGGCCGCGCTTCCGTCGGTGCGAACATCGTCATTCGCACCGCCACTATCATCATCGTGTTTACCGATAGCAATCGCCACCGCAGGGGTTTTGCAAACCAAACTGCGGGTGGGTGGGTGGGATGTTCGTAATAATATATGAGTTGACAACGCATCGCGAACATAAATGACTTGCTGCATCACATGGATTTCACCCCGTGGATTGCACCGCGTAGATTGCATTACACAGGTTGCCGCGCTTCGAATTGCACCACGTAGACTCCACCACGTATAGTGCGCAGGCTGCACCGCGTAATTTCCTCACGTAGAGTGCGCCGCATAGATAGTGCCGCATAAATTGCACTACGTAGGTTGCATCGCATGCAGTGCTCCACATACCCCGCACCGTAAATAATGCAACAACCTGTTGTTCGGGGCCTACGCTGGCGAACAAGTCTTCTTCCAGGTGCGAAATGTTGCAGGCAGCTGGTGCATGCTGGTGCGCCTCCGGCGCTGGGAAGTGCCTGGGGACACTGGTTGCGAGGGCTCCTTCGCTGCCCCCCTTGCGTCCGACCCAGACCCTGCTTCGAAGGCGCGGGCCCTCGTCCTGCGAGGGGCCGTTGGCCCTAGCGCCCCCCTGATCTGGGCTGAGTGCAGGCACGCGCCCGCCTCGCTCCGCCAGGATCGCACCGCTCAGATCCGGGGCCCAGGATGGGCCATGGAAACGATTTTTGGGGTTGTTATTGACTGTGTTGGAACATGTTTGTGCGATGTTCCGTTTTTCACCAAAAATCCGTCTGTAGGAGGACATGCCCGATCTAAGCCCAGGGTGGGCAGTTGCCGTCTCCCGACGGGCGCAGCCTCGGGCGACCGACGCCGCGCGGGCTTCTCCCTCAGGGGCGTGCCGCTCGGAGGGGGCCCCGCCTCGTTTTGAGAGGGAGCGCGGGGCGCACGGTCTCTTGGAGGTGGCGGCTCCTGCTGAGGACACTGCCCCTGTCTTCATTCAAGGGGAAAGGACCATCCGAACCTGATACTTGCCGTCTACCAAGCCGCCCTGGGCGTTTAGTACACAGCCCTGCCCGGCTCGAGTTCTTCATTGAGTGCGTTTACTAAACGGCATCGCGTGTCGGGGTGGTTATTGTGGGGGTGTTTTTTGTCCCCGTCTGTTCCGCGAAGGCCCCCCACCCCCCGCTCGCCCTGCTCTCCCCCCTCCTCCCTCCCCGGGCGCGCCGCCGAGCGGCGCGCCGAGGACGAGAATGACTACCTGAAGCAGACGATCGACTTCATGTTCTCCGAGCTGGGGAAGCTGAACATCAAGGGCACGAACCTGACGGAGCGCCCCGCGCGCGTGCGAGTTCTGCCGGGCGGAGCACGGCCAGCCGGGGCATCCTTTCTCTCCGAGCTTCGCTTCTCCCTCTCCCTCGCCGTCCTCCTCGCCTCTGCCTCCCTGCTCCCTCCTCTCTGCCTCCTCGTCCTGCTCCTCACTCCTCCCCCCCCCGGTTCCTCCCTCCTCCCTCCTCCGTCGTGCAGTGGCGGACCCTCGTGAGGTCCGGAGCGCCACCCTCCCAGTCAGGCTCGAAGGTCGGAGCACGCAAAAGCGAAGCCCAGCGTTGATAGGGGGCCACATGCGAACCCTACCCTTACCCCCCACGATTTCTGAGGGGAAGGGTGGGGTTCATTTCGCTCGGGAGCTCACGAGCGAAATGAACCCCACCCTCCCCCTCAGAAATCGTGGAGGGTAGGGGCAGGGTTCGCATGTGGCCCCCTAGTTGAACAACAACCTCCGTCGTGCCTCCCCCCCCTGGCCTCCTGCCTCCCCTTGGCCTCCGCCCGTCCTTTTCTCTCCCCGTGCCCGTCCTGCTCGTGGGGCCAGGTGCTCGCACCTTTCAGCTCGTGGGGCTCTCTCCGTCCCGCCCCCCCTTCCTCCCCCTCCCCTCGGCGCTCTGCCTCCTCGGCGCGCCTCGCTCACGGGGACACCTCCCGCGCCGCGCGCTCGGTGGAGTCCATTCGGCGCGCCGGATGGGCTCCTTTCGGGAGGGCCAGGATCCACCAGGGGACCCAGGCGCTACAGAAGCGCATCGTCTCAGAGTCTCGGGCCAGACGAGAGGGGGGGATAGGGAAAGGGGGGGGTGCGAAATCTGTTGCGTGCAGCTGGCTTCGGCCCCGCCGCTGGGCCCATTCCTCGATACCTGGGCGCCTCCGGCGCCGGGAGGCGCCGGGAAAATCAGCTACGTGAGCTGATTCTCCAACCACCCTTTGCTATCCCCCCCTTTCGCCCCGCCCGACAGCCGAGATGCCCCGATTCGTCTTTGTCTCTGGACTGTTTCCCTGGCGCGGGGCACGACATCCGACACACGGGCTGCCACAGCCCAAGGGGGAGGAAGTGGACAGGCAGCTCGGCTCGTGATATAGCCCGTCCTCTTGTGAGGAGGGACGCGCTGCACATCCCTGGGCATCGCGCAGCCATGCCATTTCCGCCGCCAGGGAGCCCCCACCGACGCCTTAGAGGATAGATGGATCAGCCCTTACTCCAGCACGCCAAATGTTTTAGTCCAATAGCCTCGCTGCACCGTGGCATGAAGTAATGTGGTGTGCTAGCCCTTGCAGGTCGCTGACCGTACACCTTTCGCACCATTCGAAGTCGGCAAGGCGTGGCCATCCCCCAGAAGGTCTCGAGCCTGCCCGTGACCGCTGTAAGCTTTGCTCGTCGGGCGCACAACGTGCAGAACGTACACAATGGTGCCTCATGAGGTCGAGCGTGGCATTTTGTGGTTAATAGTCGGAGGTTTGTTACAGACTCCAGGGGAAGGGGTGTTCCAGCCCAGCAGGGTCAATTCGATGGGGCATCTTAGGGCGAGGCACGCCATGGGATACTCTCAAGAAGTCCCACACCTTATCCTTGACAACTCAGTCTACCACTCTCCGATGGGCGTGCAACCTTAATACTGCAAAAGATCGCTTGTGCGACAGAGCATGACTGATTGATCCTTTGGCCTGGATCACAGCCTTGGATGAAGTTGAGGAAGGAGTTGATGAGAAGAAGGATGATGCTATTCACCCCTTGCACGATGGCAATTTTGATGATGAGGAGACGGAGGGAGATGTCTACATGAGAACGCGAACCATGTCGGTACATCGGACGATCATGCAATCGCCGCCCATATCCCAGATGAGTGAGTTGTGCATCTGTAAGTTTGCACCTTGGCCCTGACTGTCAGTCCACCCCTCATCATGAGGACCGATTCGTGTCGGTCGAGGTGTTTCAGCTTGGACGCCGAAGTGTACTGCATCCTTGCCCCGCGCCCTGTTGATGTGCGCCGGCTGTGACGTTGCGCTTGCCCACTGATCCTCCCATCCTCCGCCCCCCCCTCGTCCTTCCTCTTTCCCGCTGCTTCCCCTGCGCCCCCCTTCCCCCCCCCCGACCTCACGGCTCCCCCCTCCCCCATCCTTCGCCCCCCCCTCCGCCCCCGACTGCCCCTCGCATCTCCCGCTCATCCCCCCCACACAGCCCCACCCCCCGCCCCCGTCCAACCCTCTCCCTTCGTTCCCTCTCCTCTCCCGCCCCCCTTGTCCAGCCTCCCTCCCTCCCTCGAGCCCGTGGCCCGAGCCAGATCGCCCCCCCCCCCCACTGGCTCTGCTGCTCCTCGTGCCGGCGGCCGCCCAGGATCTTCGCTCCCTTGCCCCTCCTCCCTCCCTTCCCCCTCCCTCCCTCCCTCCCCCTCCCGCCCTCCCCTCCGTCCCCTGCCTCCTCTCCTCCCCCCCTCCCTCCGCCCCTCCCCCCCCCCTCCCTTCCTCCTCGCCGCCCCGAGGGCCGGGGGAGCTCGGCGCGGGGCGCGCCCCGCCGCCCAGGACCCCCAGCTCGCGGAAGGCCCGCTGGACTTCGTCGGGCGCTACTGGGAGAAGGCCCCTCGCGCCCGCCGGGCCCCCGCGCCCCCGCTCGCGCGCGCGCCAGTCGGAGTCGTCGCTCAGGTTTTCCTGCGTTTTCGTCCCTCCTCCTCCTCCTCCTCCTCCTCCTCCTCCTCCTCCTCGGTTCTCCGCGGTGTTCCAGCCTCGGGGTGCGCTTCGGCAGCTGAGCCTCGCCGAGAGAGAGTTCCCGGCCCGTGCCCGGCTCGTGCCGAGCAGCCGCCTCCGAGAAGCCGAGGCGTGACGCGGGAGCCGATTTTTGAGCGTGGAGCGTCTGTGTCGACTTGGCGACCACAGCGAGTCGCCACGATCGAAATGGGTACGGGAAGAATGGGCGCCATGAGGCGAACAAGCAGTGACATAAACATAAAAACTCGGAGGTTCGCGCGGATTTCTCGGATCGTCGCTGGATCCCCCTCCCTGGCGCGCGGAGCGCGCGAGGGGCGGCGCCGGAGGCGCCGCCGGGGGGCCCCAGCGCCGATCCGAGAAATCCGCGCGGACCTACGAGGTTTTTTGTTTATGTCTCTTTTGGTTCCCCTAGCAATGCCCAACAGCAGTTCCTGTTCATTTTGGACGGGACTCGCTGTCCACGCCACCGGGCCCTGCTGTCCATTCGAGACAGAAGGCCGCCTGCCCAACAGCGGCCGCTGTTGGTTTGGGACAACATTTGTTGTTGGGCATTGTGCCCATTTTTTCCGGACCCATTTCGGGCGTCCAAAAGCCAGGGCTCAATTTGGGTCGAAATCGAAGTTGAAGCCGTTGCTTATGCCAACGCTCACTCTGAAGCTAGCATCGGGGATGGCGGATCGCAGCTCATTCTAACGGGAGTGCAGAAGGCGCGTGGGGGAATGGCCAGGCCAGGCCAGGCCAGGCCCAGGATGTTCCTTTTCCTGGTCCGGAATAGATCATGATGCCGCTTCCCGAAGAAGAAACACCGGCATCAACATACTGTTTTGGCGCTCCGCGCGGGTTTCTTGGATCCGCGCTGGGCCCCCCTGGAGGCGCCTCAGGCGCCGCCCATAGCGCGCTCCGCGCGCCAGGGATGGGGGGTCCAGCGCTGATCCAAGAAATCCGCGCGGAGCGCCACAAGTGTATGCTGATGCCGTTCTTCCTTCTTCTGGCTTCCGCGCGAGAATCGGGTGTCCCAAGGCGTGTGCGGGAGTGGAGACGGGGACTTGCCTGCGTGGGCCCGGCTTCCTCTCCCCCCGCTCGCGCCGGGCTTCCTCCCTCTTCCTCCCGCGCACCGCGGTTCAATTTGCATGTCGTGCGCCCCGCTACTGCCACATCGCCGGAGCAGTAACATCTGCCCAGCCGCCGACGCAAAAAGTGCGCGGGAGTTGAGACCGGGCTGCTGTCTTGAGTAGCAGCGACACGCCGACGGGCGTGCGGGACGACGGCTCGGCGCGGCTCATTTGCCGCGTCCGCGCGGCCGCCGCGGAGGTGCGGCCCCGGAACAATACCGTCGTCGTGAGCGAGCACGTCGGCGAGATCGACCACACAAAGAAGCCCCAGGCGCTCAGGGTCACGTCGGGCATGTCCCTCGACAGGAGGAGTCGCCAAAAATGGTTGCAGGAGAGTCTGGGGAAGATGTTTTAAGAACTATAGCTGGCTATCCTTGCGTATGTTTTGGCTGTTTTTTATTCTGCGTCCAGAATCCGCCTGTCGGGGGGCGTGCCCGACCTCAGCTCAGCAGGGGGCGGCGGGCAGTCTCTGCAGGGGGGGGCCGGGGCGCGGGCGGCGCGAGGCCCGGCGGGGCGGCGAGGCGGGCCAAAGATCAGAGCGGAGGCGTGCGCTCTATGGGCCTCCTGCCTGGAGTCCGAGCAGGCGGGGTCGGAGGACCGCGCCGCATCGTCGATGCATCGGCGATGCGGCTCGATGTGGAGCCCGATCTTCTCGACGCGGGCGTCGCCGAGGCATCGCCGATGCATCGGCGAGGTGTCGCCGATGCAGCGGCGAGGTGGCGCGATCCTCCGGCCCCGTCTGCTCCGAGCCCATCTGGGAGGCCTCCGTTCGCGGAGGGGTGCGTGGTCGACCCGCACGCACAGGAAGGAGGGGCAGCCTTCCTTGTAAGTGGGTGGCGGCTAAGGGGGGGGATGACGATTAGTCAAGCAGTGGCGAAGCGTCCTGGCTCGCCTATAGCCCTACCAAACAATGTCTTAAGAACCTCCTGTGGTTTCCACGAAATGTTCTTAGAACATTTCTGGCGGAGTCTGTCTTGTTTTGTTCACATCGGGTTTATGCTCTAAGAAGAGCGTGCTTGTTCTTAGAACATTTCTGGGTTCTATGGACATTTCGTGGTAGGACTATACCAATGCCAGGACGGTCGGTCCCTGCTCAAATTAGAGGGGGGATATATCGTGGCTTGGGCCAGGATGTTTCCCCAGATTTCACGGCGGCTCTTCTTCTTCTTCTTCTTCTTCTTCTTCTTCTTCTTCTTATTATTATTCTTCTTCTTCTTCTTCTTCTTCATTGGCCCCAGACGGTAACTCAGCCTTCCCAAGGGTGCCTTCGCATCCTTCCGGGGAACGAACAATGACATCAACATAACAACTCGGAGGTCTGCGCGGATTTCTCGGATCGGCGCTGGAGCCCTCTGGCGGCACCTCCAGCGCCGCCCCTGGCGCGCTCCGCGCGCCAGGGAGGGGGCTGCAGCGCCGATCTGAGAAATCCGCGCGGACCTTTTTTATGTTTATGGAGGTTGTCGCTCCCCTAGGAAAGGATGGGCAGCCTTCCCAAGGGTACCTGTGCATCCTTGCCCCCATGGCCCATCCTCGGCCACGTTCGTTGGCGCCGCGCCCCGCTCGAAGAGCTTCGGAACGGCCTCCCAAGGCCTTCGCTTCCTCATCGTGCATCCTTGTGATGCGCTCACGCCTCGTACGCACCAGCGACGCCTGAGCGGCGCGGTCAGATTCGGAAGTCGGTGCCTCTCGAGCCCCGCGCTCGCCGCCGATGCGTCGGCGCTGCGTCGGCGATGCGAAGCGGCTCTGGAGCCCGATCTGCCAGGCCACCCGCGCTTCACCAAGGGCTCCCACGAGGGCGCGAAGTTATTCGCGCTTCGTGGTCCTCGTTCCTCCTCCCCCTCCCCCTCGTCCTCCTCTTCTCCCTTTTGGGGGGGCGGCGCGAGAGCACGAAGTTATTCGCGCTTCGCGCAGCGCGAAGCGCGAAGTTAGGAGCCCTTGTTCACAGCCTGGGCCCTCTCGCACGGGGCCGGGACGAGGATCGATGCTTTCCATAGAGCGCTCCGGAACGCTCTCCGAGCGTCCGGGAGCGCTCCGAGGAGGCCGCGGCGCCCGGGGCAGCCTCCAGAGCCGCCAGACCTCAGAGCAGGGCTGAACCTAAACGGTGTTTTTCGTTTTCGTTTTCGTTCTTCGTTTTCCCTCGTGTTGTCTTCAATCCGCCTCTACCGTAAAACGACGTCGATACGAAGACAGCCCCCGAAGTCGCCCAAGCACCGTTTGGGTCCAGCCCTGTCTCAGAGATTCTCAAGGTGCCCTCCCCCGAAGTGGTCCTCTCTGGGCGACCCAAAAGGGTGTCCAGCTGCAAGGGCGTGGTGCAATAGATTTGGGGCAATTGTACTGCAAACGTATTGCGCTGGAGATTTGTATTGCATTGTATTGCAACTAATGTATTGCACGCGATCCTCGTCCTGGCCTCGCCTCGCATCGCGCCTCGCAGCCAGGGGGCGTCCGTCCGGCGGCCCTCGCGCACGATGCCTCCCCGAGGCCTCCGAAGGCGATCTTATCGTCTATTCCCCCGCTCCTCCTGCTCCTCCTCCTCTCTCTTTTGGTCCTTCTTCGCCTCGGCTTCCCAATTCCGATCCTCCTCCTTCCCCTCCCGTCGCACGGGCAGGGGCCGTCTGGCTCGTCCTTGTGCTCACATACTGCAGCGGGATGCTGCTTCTGCCCGGCACGGGCCGTGGTGTGGGCCCGCGCTGGGCGGCTCATATCGTGCAGCGGTCGCTGCCGCAGCGTGGTTTTGCGCGTGCCGTGGTTCGGCCAGCGCGTGGGCCTCAGCTGATGGTGCCGTCGAAGTGCGGCACCGTTCGCCGTTGCGCGAGGGAGCATGCTCCAGCATCTGATCCACCTGACCCACCTACCACCCCCGTTCCTCAACTGCCAGCCTGGGTTGCCTCCCCTCTCTGCTGGCCCCCCGTGTTGGGCTCCTCTCGGCGGGAGGCCCCTCGGCGCCCCCCAACAGTCCGGGGCCGCGCGCCACAACTATTAACCCCCACCCCCTTTTCTCGGAGGGAGGCCAAGCGACACCCCCACGCGCTGCCCACTTCCACCGAGCAGGGCCGCGGTGCCTCCCCGAGCTGAAGGCTGGAGATGCTTTGATCGGGAAACCGCAGAACACGAGGACCACGCCACATGCAGTACCCCTTTGTGGCTCTTCACGACAGTGGTGGTATTGGTGCCGATTTATCATTGCTAATTGTTTGAGGCTTCGCGTGCTTTCACCAGCCCGTCCAGCAACGATGCCCAGTGCGAGTTGCATTGGCCAGGGACGTGTGGGAACACATTGTGGAACAAATCGGGGGGGCATCCGTGACGCCGAAGATTGGGATCAGCCTGAGCACTAGAGTCGACCATGTGACATGTGTGCATGCTTCCGCGGATTATGGAAGCATGTTGGCAGTTTTCTCGGGCTCTGTTTGGGCCCTACCGGTACACATTTGAAAGCTTTTGGGGCCCTATCGGGCCCTCTTGGGGTCTTCTTGGGGCCCTGTTTGGAGCCTTCTTGGGGCCATCTAGGAGGACATCGGCCAAAGAAGGGGTCCTCAACAAGGGCCCCCCCGTCCAAGACCCAGGACCCCAAAAAATCGTCGATTGGGGCCCTCTCGCTCGTGGGGCCGTCTTGGAGCCCTCTTGGAGCCCTCGTGGGCCCCTCTTGGGTCTCTCTTGGGGCCCTCTGAGGTGATCTTGGAGCCATCCCGAGGCCTCGGAAGACCACCAAAAGCGAACAAGCGAGACGGCACGCCACAGTCTTTTCCATTCGATCATAGAAGAATGTTGACCTGCCTCTGGAGTACGCTGGAAACCATGTTGGGCCATCTGGGTGTACCTTGAGCAATCTTGGAAGTCTTTTGAGGTTCCTGCGGCCCTGTTGCAGCCTTCTTGGGCCATTTTGGACGTTCGGGGGAGGGATACCCCCCTCCCCGAAGAGGAAGGCGGGGGTTGGACGAGGAGACGTTCTGAACCAACCCCGCCCAGATCGGTGGTCGCATGTATCCCTCCTGGCGACAGGACGCGCAGTGTGTTCGGCCACTGGTGTCGGCGTGCGCGGGCTTGCCCTTCTCTCGTCTGCGCCGTCTGGGTCATGGCAGCTGGTGCCGTCCGCCTCTGCCCCCCCCATAGGTCTCTTCCTCCTCCTCCTCCTCCGCTTTCTCCTCCTCCTTCTCTTCCAGTGCCTCGTCCTCCTGTGGACGTCCTCCTTAATTCTACTCCTCCTCCTTCTACTCATCCGTTCCTTCCTTCCCCCCCGCCCTTCTGCCACAGCGTGGTCTTGCAACAGAGTCCTCTTCCTCTTCCTGCTCCTCCTCCTCCTCCACCTCCTCCTCCTCCTCCTCCTCCTCCTCCTAGTCCCCCTCCCCCTCGTACGCGTGGGACGATTGTCGGGTGCTTGCGCTGTTCCCCCGAAAGATGCTCGCCTCCCGCTTTCCCTCCCCCTCGTCACCCTCCTCCTCCCCGAGTCGGCGCTCAGGGGCCGACAGGGTTCTCAACCAGATCCAGCGATGCGCGTCCGCAACAATGTAGGATAACTGCACGCCGGTCGTTGAAAGTAGGTATTTTTGGATTCCCAGATCCCAATCTGCTTCAAGCGCCTTCCTACTTCAAGAATCGACACGCTTTTGCTGTGTTTTGTTATTCTCTGGGGGGGCCTGGACCCAATCAACTTAATCCGCCTTCCTACTTCATGTTTTTACCTGCTTCTTCCGACCGACGTGTATTGGGAAGGAGATGCGCGAGGGCAGGACGTCGCCAATCTGCTGGCCGAGTTGGGGAAGAAGTTCAGGCGGCGTCCAGTATTCTTGCTGCGCGTTTTCAGAACGCCTGATCCACTTGTTCCCATGCCTCTCTTCCCTGTCCACAACCAGCAAATCCCTCCGTCTGATTGCCTACTCGCTTTGCTCGTAGGAGCACCACGTCGTGCCCCGTATGTCCGTTTCGCTGGTCGAAATGTCCCGACCCATTGCGCCGTCGTCTTCATTCTCATCCATGATATTACGTTGAATGTTCCATTTTCTTGCGTCGGTGCGCACCTGCTATGTTCGTCCCATGTACCACGCATCACTCGATGTAGTGGGAAGGCCTGACGGCCGGTGCCGAGGGGGGCGACGACGACGGGTGATGTTCTGGAGCCATTCTTGAGGCTCTTCTGGGAGCCTCCTGGGCTCTGTCGGGGGGGCGCTTGGGGGACTTCTTGGCACGCCTCGTGGTTACTTTGAGCCACCTCGGAGCAGATCTGAGGCTACTCGGAGGCACGTGGGGAAATACGCAGCACCCCGTGACAGCAGCTAAAGAGTGAGGAGGGTGCTGGGGAGGGGGCTTGGGAGGACGAAGCCCCTGCAAACGGGGCGTTAGCAAACAGGCCGGTAGCGAAGGGTGCGTTTTCTATTGTTTTTTCGAGAAAATGATTTGCCGCGTACAAGTGCGAGGTAAACCCCCCCGCTCAGGGTGATGATGATGTATCGACCTTTTTGTCGTCCCGATTTATCACGCACTAGAGCGAGGTAAATGCCCTGTCACCCCGTTCTCGCTTGAAGAGGCCTCTGAGCTACCGCCCCGTTTACTAACGCCCCGTCTGCAAGGGCTCGGGAGGAGAGGGGGAGGGGGGTTGTCCCTCTGTCCACTGGGGGGAGGCGGGGAGAGGGGTCTTTTGTTCCCCTGTCCTCAGGGGGACCACCTCCTGTCCGGGACCCTCTCCAGGATCCTCGCGTAGGACACCCCCGGCGACACCCCCCCCCTGGCAGGGAAGGGATCAAAGGGAAGGGGCTTCCCTTCGAATCAATTACGACGTCGTTTGACTTCCGTTCGGCTGAATCGCTTGGGAGGAGGGCCCAGGGAACAGGC